AAATGGATGGGATCAATAGGACACCGGTGACAAGAGACCACTTACTTCACATTCAATACTTTTGTATCTAAATTTGAAGACGACAGAAGATTCACAGCTTGGGATCTAACCTGTCATTGCACTTCTAAAGCACAAGAAAGGTGGCCCCAGTAAGGAGCAATCTTGGTACACCCTCTGTTAGCATCACACTGTATTTCTCTATCACGTGCTACGGAAGAGACCCTGCCATCATTCCCTCCCTCACGTCCAGCCCAGGCAGGACATCCACACCTGCTTTGCAAACAGGTAAACTGAGGCACAGCGCACCGCTGGGACCCACACGCCGGCACCAGAACAGGTTGTTGGGAGGATGTGCAGTTTCCTGCTCTGAACATCAAAGGACACTTTTGTCATAACAAAAATGATGATGGCACCGTTTCCCGGGGATTAGCAGCTGGCCAGGACTAAAAGCCTTTTCACCATCTCAGCTGACCCTCAGTGTTACCAAGTCCTAGAGACACACACAGTTACTGAGGGTGTGATAAACAACAGCACGTACAACTCAGCAACAATGCAGAATGAATTTACATCCCTCTGTATTTAATTTTTGGACTAGAACGAGTAAGAAACCAGTTACTTTAGCAACCTGGTCTAGTGGGAAGTGTCCCTATCCATGGCAGGGAGTTTGGAACTAGGTGATCTTTAAGGTTATTTCCAACCTAAACCATTCGATGGTTCTATGCTTTGTTGTGGGTCTTGAGGATTTTCTCGATTTCCCACGCTCAGCTATATCACAATAATACATTTAGGGCTGCGTGCATCTTTGATGCCCCATGCTCAACCAGACTACACCTACATACACTTATCTCTTCAGCTGCAACTCATTTTGCACCCACCTCAAAACCCAGTAGGATTGCTTCACTCAATCCTGGATAGAGGGGAAGAAACTTGGACTTTACTCTTGCATTTTAGTTCAAATAACAAGCCAAGATGGCTAGTGGAGACCTCCATCCTGCACCATGGACTCGCTAGAAAGTATTCGATCCCTGCAGATTTAGATTTTTTTTTTTTTAGAACAGAGCCAAGTGAATCTTGTTGCCCACATTCAGAGAGAGCAGCAAAGCAGGTGCTCTTGCTGAAACGGAGCCGTTCTCTAGACTTGCACGCGCGCTCCAGTTCCCTCCAACAACATTAAACTCGCTTTGTTTGCTCCAGCCGGTCCGGTGCCGTTTCCTGCAGAGTGCAGATGTCAAGATCAAACAAACACAGCTTCAGTGGCGGGGCCACACGGCAAAAACACAAAGTGTCACCGGGGTAGCGTGAATGCACAGGGCTTGATTCTTTTGCACAGCAACGCAGCCCTCCCCCCTTCTTTCCTGCACACACATACCTTGTGAAAAATCAAGGCTCTGAACACACTGAGGAAACATATCTGAGCAAAAGCAGCATGTCCTCTGGCACTAAGGGAGCTCAAAGGTGCTGTCAGCTGGGCCTGACATTACTGGGACACGTCTAACAGCACGGAGGGAGAAACCAGCTTTCTCTTCCTACTTAACCGCTCAGACAGAGTCTTGAGTGGGAGGAGGAGGTGACAGTGGCAACCATCACCTCCTGCTACAAAAAGTGAGTGGAAGAAGAGAGATGAGCACGCAGCCACAAGCTGCTCTGGTGTCACACATTTAAATACAAGCACCGAGAGAGTTCGGGGTAAAGGCTGTGCCTGCCAGCATTGGTGCCCCAGGAATGTGGCTGGACCTGGGGACCCATCTGTTGATGCACTGAACAATCTCAGATGCAGCTGAAGCCAACATGAGTTGGCAAACGAGCGAAGCATTGTTTTGACTTTATTACTGTTGTTTCTACGGATTCAGCCCTTCCCAAGGACAGGGGGGAATTACACTAATTCACCAATTACACTAATTAGCTTCCAGGATTCACTCCTGTCCCCACTGCAATACCCTGAGGCACTACTTGCATAGAAAGTCTGGCAGTTGAGATCACCGAATGCTTTCTGTACCTCTAACCTGCATCCCTCTACTCCCCTGCTATGGGAAATCAGTTGTCTGCTACAGAAGCACTGCGAGCATCTGCATTTGCTAATTTTCACAGAGCAGCTGAATGTCGAGGAACACCTTAGCGTCACAGGGAGACTCTCATGCCTCCTGAATGGTAGACTAACAGCACAAGTATCCCAGAACAGCTTCTCCTTCACCAAGCTTTGTCTAAGCAGGATATTTGAAAGATGCAGGTGTTCTACTGAAGAAAAAACCAAAACAGAACAAAACACACCACCTCTGATTGCACAATCAAAGCATATGCCCCAAGAGCCAAATTAAGGATTCCCAAGGAAGCGAGGAAGTATCTTGCTTCAAATTGCTTTGCAGTGTCAAGCCTGTTCTTTGAAGGTATTCTTTTTTCGCGCAAGACACCGTAATGTGCCAAGTCTGAGAATCTTGCAAGCAAATCTTGCAAGCGCTCAGTGTGCTTAGCCATGTCTGGAAGGATTTCAAAGGACAGCCAAAACTTGGGGCGGTTGGACAACAAGTCATAAAAAACCAAAGTTGGTCAACTTGTCACATGCCATTCCTGCCACCATCTTTCACCTTCACAAATACCTCCTGCCAATCCTGACCAGCAGGAAGAGAGGTGACAGGCAGAGTTGTTCAATCCCAAGGCTGCTTACGGATACTCAGCTAGAACTTCACCCAGAAATGGGGACCAGGTGACTGGAAAAGGCAGAATAGCTTTCAGAGCGTGCTGAAAGGGACTGCAGTCCTTACACTGCCATTAAAAGAGAAGAGTCTCTGAGCTCGTGTAAGGACAGGCAATCTCAACCATCATACAATTCTCCTTTATGTAGTTTTAATAATGTGGTAAAGGAATCTAGATGCACTGCATTCAAATCTGATTTTTTTTTTCCCCCCTCCCAGGACCAAAACGACTGGTGTCAGGGGAAGACTTCCAGAGCAACATTAATAAGGTTCCTCCATTTGTTAAGATACTAATTCTCTCTCAGCTAACTGAAATTGGAGCTGATAGAAATTCTGAATTTCCAGCTAAACTGCTGACACAGGGCTGCTTCAATCTCACGCACTCATTTTTTTTTCCTGAAGGCCCCAAATGAATATAGAACAAGCAAACATCATGCGTATCTGCAGCCTTGTAATTTCCCTTTGACAAGGAAGCAAAGCAAAGATCTGCACTGAAAAAAACATCTTTGCAAGACTTACCTTTAATAATGCCTTTGAAGGCATCAAGCACGAACGTGATGGATATAAAAAGTGCAATTATTTCTTCTATTGACCTGTGGAAAAATCCCAGGAAATAATATAGTCATTAGCAGAGTCTGCATTCAACTCCATTCAAAGCAAAAATCAGCATATTCATGCATTTACTTGAAAATATACCATTTTTAGTTAGACTCCAACTCGGGAAACAAAACCCAGTGAAATTTTAAAAGCTTCTTTCAAGCTGGAACAATAAGCTGCTATGATACTAGCCTCATCTAGCAAAATACATTTTGCAGCAAATTTGTAATTAAGGAGCTTGTGGAATGTATAATTTATCCATTTGCTGAATAATCTGATCAAAATATGACTTCTTGAAAATAACTACCTTTTAAAGAGCTTCATCAGAAGACTGAAATTAAAGAGGGAGTACATCACAAGGAAAAAGCTGTTCCACAGTCCAATCCAGGCATAGAAAGCACTGAAATCCAAGTTGTAGTCATCACAGATTCCTCGGATGACTGCGAAAATGAAGCATTCGCGCGTCAGATTAAACATTTGTCATTAGCACCCTGCGATTCCCATCTGCTTGATGGCAAAAAGAATCAGTTTTAAGCCCTCACTGCAACACACTTGTGGCAGATACTATTAAACCCCCGTTCTTACACTTCTGAATCAACATGAACAGTTCTCCCCTTCCCCATCCCCTTCCTTCACCATAACTAGGGAGAAACACTTGGAAGAATGTTCTCTTGCACTGCTCAAAGCATCCTTCCTAAGGGTCAAGGTCACAAAATCAGCCCTTGGAATTCGCTCTTGCTGACATTTCAGGGATCTCACAGATGCTTTTGCACCATGTTTACTCGGTCATTGCATTGTGGACAAAACAGATCCTAAACCTTTCAAGCTAGTCAAAGTCCATCTGATTGTTCCTATAGATACTGGGGTTTGCTCCTTTACACCTCTGGCTCAGTAATATCAACTTGCAGCTTTAACTGGAAAGCTATTTATCATACTTTAACAGACAAATAATAAAAAATTACAACAACAACCAACAAGAAACGTAGTCTCAGGCTCTTATCCTCAAGTTGGTTGAATGCACCCACATGAGAAAACCAATCAGATGAAAAAGACTTCCTCCTTGAAGCAGAAGAAACACTTCCTCTCACGAAATGCTTTTTTGATGCAAGAAGATTCCTTTAGAAACCAACTTTAACTAAACCTAAATCAAATTCCTCCCCCAGAAGCAGCCCTTTAATATGTATTTATTTAACAAAAGCTCTAATGGGATAGCAAGGTTCTTGTACAAAGTCCCCGTTACACCAATCACAATCGCATCAGTCCCTACATGTGAATTTAACATGCTTACCGTTAATGTAGAGTGCTAGAGGAGCCGTCGTTAAGAGTACAACTAGAGGTTGCCCTGAAAAGAGTGCGTAAAGCAGCCCTCCGATACACTGGCCAATGATTGTCTTCTGCACATCTACAAGTAATCAGAAGGATGGAAACAGAGTTTTTAAATAAAACTTCCAGGACCAAGGAAAATTCACAGGGCATAGAAGCCAACTGCTAACAAGTGAGAGCAATGCTTAGATGGTCTAGAGGTGAGACACTGAAAGTAAGAAATGACCATTTGCCAGCAAATATGTTCCACTAATTTAGGATATCATGGAATTCCAGATGTTGAACTACAAAAATCGGGTGATTTTTTTATTGTTGTTAAGTTTTGGTGTTTGTTTGGGTTTGTTTTTAGATTTTATTTTAAGCAGCTATAAAAACATAACCAATGTTTGCAGAGGCTTTCAGGCCAGTATTTCAACTAAGATTCCTGTGAGCCGTAGCAGCAGTATGAACTGCTTCAGGGCCACAACTGGGACAGAGTAAAGGATCATCTTCTGTATCAGTGGTTTGGATACTGGCAATCAAATCCAAATCAACAGCACAGGAACTTGTACTAGGAAAAACGTGCAGACAGATACATACTCATAAAGTGAGCGTCATTTAAAACCAGAGTAGCCTATATCTGTATCAGTCCATGTCAGATGATACTATCCCAAGTAGCGTGCAATTTTTCTCATCTTCTGAGAAAAAGTCACGAACAGAACAATTAGAAAAGCTTTTATTGGTGTTCTCTTCATCAGTATTAGAGTTTCCAGTGGCCGGAGCTACTCAGCTTGGAGACAGGGGATCCTATAACAGAAAAACTTACCCATAGCTCCGCCGGTATTCTCATCATTGAGTGACCCAAATGCAATGGATGGAAGGAGGCAGGCAAAATACAGAAAGATCATAGTTGTGATGTATTTTCCTATAGCTTTGTTGTTTCCAATAACACCTAGAGTAAAACACAACAAAAGTCACGTTAGTACTGCCCCCTTGTAAAGCACTGAAACCCTACTTGCATCAGCCATATGTACCATTAATTCTCCCAGCGCTGAAAGGCAGAAATAGAAATTCCACCCACACTTTAAACATATAGGTAGGTCTTTAACCTTTGCGTGTGCACAACCATGCTCTTTTGTTCATCCGGGGCCAGAAACACCAACACGTGCCACCAGACTGCTCCAACAGACATTTCTGGCATCATCAAAACAGGAAATACTGGAAGCTTTTTGTTCAGTTTTGCCAGCCCCAAAAACTTGGAGGAGGATCAAAGCAGAAACCTTAAGTTTGAGGTTTACAAACCCTCCACCCTCTGCCTTTTTAATACCAGCTTTATAGGCATATTCTGGACTATGCCCTTAATGAGCTTCAGGATGATCACTCATCTTTGCAACTCATGATGCCTTGGGCAGGAAAACATGAAGCGCTTCATTTTTCCCTAGACAGAAATCTGAGGTTATAGGCTGGAATCAATAATATGCTATGGTGAGCCAATTAGCGCTAGCAAACTTACAAAAACAAATAGCACAAGAGGTCAGGAATGCGTACATTAAAAGTCTTGCTTTAAAATTTTTTCTTTTTTTAAAAAAAAAAAGCCCTTCTGAAAGAATGGCTTCTTTCTTTTCCATCCACTCAACCCCTCTCATCTCCATCGGAAAAAAACACACCAGGCCAAAACAAAAGCAGCCAGAAAGAGAATTAGAGTGTCACAATATGAATTTAAGGGCCTCTGAAGTAGCTTCCCTTTCCTGTTTTCAGGCTGTTGTCCATCCCCAGTGAGCTCATATCACACAAGGGAAAGGATGAGAGATGACAACAGCTGATATTGCTTGAGGAGGACATAAGTTTTTCCACAGAACAGCTGCTTCAGAGAGGGCCTATTCAAAGAAAACCTCTAAACAGGCTTCCAGCTGCCTGTGCCACCATCCTTGATGACGCTCCTGCTGTCAGACACTTGGACAATCTTGAAGTTGCCCAATTCACCTTTCTGGAAGCCTCCCGAGCAGTGAACTCCTACACAGCCATCTGCCCCTAACTCCCAAACACCCATCTAAGCCTTTGCTAGCATCAGTCCCTTGCCAAGGGAGCTACAACCAGGCAAAATCACAGAACGATTGGGGTTGGAAGGGACCTCTGAGGATCATCTAGTCCAACTCCCCTGCCAGAGCAAGATCACCGAGAGCAGATGACACAAGAACACATCCAGGTGGGTTTTGAATGGCTCCAGAAATGGAGACCTCACAACCTCTCTGGGCAGCCCACTCCAGTGCTCTGTTACCCTCCCAGTAAGGAAGCATCTTCTTATAAGCCAACAAAGTGAATTAGAGAACGGAGGGCTTTGCATTAGAGGCTGCTGGTGCATCACTAAGAAAATCTAGACATTAACACAACAGATTGTGCCACTGGAGTGAGAAATAAATAAATGTAATCGTTCAATGACTTTAGTATCTTATCTAACATCTGCTTTCTGCACCGTTTGCAGTGCAGAGATAATGACAGAAGGAGGATGCGAAAACCCCCAAAAAATCAAACATGATGCGTAATGAACAGGCAGCCGCACGAATAAAGGACACCTTGTGATGGCTCCTGTTCGCAGACACGAGAGGAACAGACATAAATAGGACTTCTCATGCTCAGCATCCTCAAGAAAAAGAAAAAAAAGTAATGGTAGGAGCTAAAACTTGACAAGAGACATCTCAAGCATGCAAATATGAGCCTGACCTTCCAGGAGCCATAGGGCCAGCTGTTTCAGGGCAGATTCCTTTCAATTTATTGTGAAGATTCAGAAACCACAGACCACATTCCTGACCACTCTTGGCAACCAAAGGGCCTGAAATACACTTCTTGCAGATTAAGCTTTCTCATGTGATCTCCAGTCCAGCTGCAGGCTCCTACCTCATGCTCCCAAGTGCCCAAGACCTTTAGAGAAACTTTTATAAGTACACAACCTTGTTCAGAGGACTCTGCACGACTC